CTTTTTTTAACTTTATTTTTCTTAAAAAAAAAAACTTTTAAAATATTTTTTCCAGCCTGGTGGCACCGTCGCCGGCTGCAGCCCCACGTCGTGTTCCCCCCGTGCAGCCTCCGCTGCTCTGGGACTCGGCTCCGTTGCTGGTTGATCCCGCAGCGCTGCGGGTGGGAGGAAGGTTGTCCCTCCTCTCCTCCTCCTCCTCCCCGGGGCACGGCTAATCCGGCCAACATTATCATCCGAAAAACACAATAAAGAGCAAATTAATAAGCGTAGGAGCTCCTGAGGGTTGTCTGTAAGCACGTCGGGGTAGGAACGTGCAAACGCTTCCCCRTGTAGTCCATGTTGCAGAAACTACGGTTTGAGGAATGAGCTGCTTTTCCACTAAAAAATAAGCAGGAAAAGTTAAGGGCCCGGGATGCTGCCGCTGCCTGGAATAACGTGCGCCGGCCTTGAGGTGACAGGAGCCGCGCGGGAAGCGCCCTCGCAGCAGGGCCTGAGCGCCGGCACTTTACAGAAACCGCCTCAATTTACCCCATTTTCTCCCATTGAGCAGTTCCTGACGGGCTTTACAGAAACCGCGTCAATTCGCCCCGTTTTCTCCCACTAAGCCATTCCCGACACAGCAGTGCCAGCTCCCTGGTTGTGCTGACTCTTTGTTGCCCTTGTCACCATTACGTTGTTATGTAAAAGAAGTTAAAAATATATAGAGAAAAATGTAAAGGGGGTCTGGAGCTCTGAAAAAAATGAGATTGAAAGCAAGTTCCCTGGTAGACCGGGCTTTTCTTTCCCTGGGAGGTTTACTTTCTGCTTGCAACCGTTTGGAAAGTGGTTATCTTGGAGGGGAGGTAGGTCTCTGAACCRGTTACTGGGCCTTTTTCTGATTTGGCTTTTCAGTTACGCCTGCAACAAGAGCATTTCTGCAGCGCTGCTTATATTAATTCACTAAATTTCTAGCAGCCTAAGATACTGCAAGTTTTGCATTGCTGTTTCCCCTGGGAGGAAAAAAAGACAAAAACCCACCCTTGCAATTAATAGGGGACAATTTTGAAGTGTTCTCCTGGGACAGTTTTAGCCTGGGATTACAGAGCAAGCGAGCTGAGCTCAGCTCCGCAAAGCCCTTTTGCTCTGCGTTTGCTCCGGGGACATCAAAGCAAGCTCGGCCAGGAGCTCGTCCTTATCTCAGCGCTGCGGCCCCAGTCTGAGCGAACGTACCTGGGGGAGAAGAATGTGGCGGCAGCAGATTGCTGCTGATGGGCCGCGAGAAGCAAAGAAATAATGGGGGAGGATAATTGATTTAATGAAAAGTGTAATAATGAGAACGTTTTTCGTGCCCATGTGCTGAAAGGGCCCCTGCTTTTCCCAGTGCTGCAACAAAAGAGAGCGGCCTGACAGGTCTGAACAATAAACAAGAGGGAAACGTGGAATCGCTTTCCAGTTGTGTTATCACATGCAATTTTGTAATTTTGGAATTATTATTGCTAATTCCCCTTCTGCCCGACTATTTGGACAACAGGGACAAGCTGATTAATCGCAGCCGTTTTGCCGGGCTGGAAGTTTCCTTTCAAGTGACAAGCCGCTGCGGGCGCTCCGTCGGCGGGGAAGTTTTCTTTGCTTATTTTAGRGAATTAACATTGTTTTATCGCCAGCGCGGGTCGCGGGGACGGGTTTTTAGCGAGCCCCTTGCTCGATGCCGTTTCTTTCCCAGGCTGTTCCCAAGGGCTGTTTTTTAGGGAAGGAGCGGCCGGAGGCTGCGCGCGGAGGGCGCCGGAGGCGGCAGCGGCGCGGGGAGCAGCGCGGGTGCTCGCGGCCGCTCTGACGTTGCAGTAAGTCGCATTTTACTGGCGTTTTCTGCCCAGCGGGAGCGGGGGAGGCTGCTGCGCCTCCCCTCGCAGCCCCATCCCTCCTCCGTGCGCGGGGCTCCGGCTGGGCCGCCTTGCGGGGCAAAACCGCCCGAGTTTGGGGCAGAGCAGAATTCGGTGAAAACAAAGACGGGWGCAGGCGAGGAAGCGGGCGCAACGTGTTCTCGACGTTTTGATATTAAAACATATCCACAGTCCATACCCCAATGCCCATCAGATGCTTTCCAAGTTAGCCGGGATCGTCCATCCCTGCATTTCTGGCCGGCAGCTTCCAGCTCCCCGGGCTTGKGGCTGAATGCAGTTATTAATTGCAGCCTAATTATCCCCCCCCTCCTAAGCAAGGCGATGGGATGAGAACTGTGGGAAGCGGGTGCTCCGTTACTTTTTCTCCGCCAAATTTCTTCAATTTCAATTCGATATTAACTCTGTGTTTAAGAGCAGTGCGCGCGTGCCTGGCCCGACCCCGCTAACGTCGCCTTTTGCTCCATAACTGTTTATTTTGCAAAAGGCCAGAAATTCACAGGCACATCCCGACATGTCCTCATCGGAAGGTCATCATAAATATAAGGTTTAAAGAGAGAGGAAAAAAAAAAAGAAAAGGAAAGTTGCAAACTAGTGGTGCATTTAGGGCAGAACTGCTGTTTTGTACATGGGGCTAAGAATTCCTTAGTATGTCCAGTGACACTGTAGTACTCATTTATTTAAAAATGTCCCTGTTCATCCGGCCTGTCGGGATAATACCCAGCCCTGAACGGCTGCTGGACGACGCTGCTGTTGATTTAAGTCCTGCAAACCGAGCTGGGAATGGGAGGCGAAGCTGGAGCACGGGCATTTYCCCCCCTTTTTTTTCCAGCTTGTAAGGGAATAGGGAGCCTAAAGACTCCCTGCCGGAAAGAGATTTGCTTTTGTGACATTTTAATTCCTGCCTGAAAATACTGACTTGCCAGATTCGCTATTTAGAATGAAGTGAAAGCGCCTCAAAAGGTGACAGCCGAGGATCTCCGTGCTGCCRTGAAAATATTCCCATTATTTATAGGGACCGAAGGGGGCGGCGGGGTTAATTTGAGCAGGGCTCTCTGTTTTAGCTATTAAATAGCTTCRCACTCATTGTGGCCGCCGAAATAGCGTCGCTTTAAATAGCGCGGAGATTTAGCACTTAAAAAATAATCCTGGGAACACGAATCCGCCGGGGGCCAGATCCTGCCTGCGGCAATTAGAGCAGGGAGCCCCTCGGCAAYGGGGCAGAGCTTTAGAAAGTTTGTGAAAATGTGAAGGAGCGGGGAAAAAAGAGAAAATCGGGGGAAAAAATAATAGATGGGAATTTTAGTATGCTGATTGCTAATTAGAAAAAATGGTGCTGATCTGAAACTGCCTGATTTTCCYCAAGAAAGGCAGGGCCTGATTCCTGGTCCCGGCGCTGTGAGCGCCTACAACCTCGCTGCTTTTTTCTGCGCTTTCTCCTGCTGCTGGAAATTGCAGGCTTTGTCTTTTTTTATTATTATTRTTGTTATTCTTTCTTTTTTATTATTATTATTTGGGGGGGGATTAAAGTGATGTATTTTGGTTTATTTATTTATTTGTTGGTTCATTTGTAGCCCTGGTTTGGGGCTCTGCGAGCTTGGGAAGTGGAAAACTTCTCAGGCTCCGTTTAAGGCGAGCGGAAACACCCTCACCAAAGCGCCAAATTTTTCTCCAAATGGAGAAAAGAGGGGATTTGATGTTGTTGGTTTTGCTTGTTTATTTTTTATTTTATTTTTTTTTAGGATGCACCTCTAAAGGTGAACGCTTTCGGCGTGACCAGGCGTCGCCGCTGGCGCGGGACCGGCCCCAGCTCTCCGTGCCGCCGAGATGCCGAGGGACCCGTCACGGGCACGAGAGGCATCRGGTGACACTCGGGTAAGGAGGACAAAACTGCTGCTTTTCATTCCTAACGCCACCCAGATCCCGGGAAAAGGAGAAATCCCCCGGGCAAATACAACATAGGAACCGGCATTGTCCCATTCCTGCTTTTCCCAATTTTTCCCACAGATGAGCGGTGTCCCCTGCCCATRTCGCTGCCCGGTGTGCAGTGACATGCATGGGGACACGTG